CTGTGCTGTTGAAAATTCTTGTCCATGATTTGGATAAAAGCATCATCTTTGCAGGTGACATAAATCTAACAGGGATAGATGTCACACAGGATAACCGAAGCTGGATCCAAATAAATCTTTATAGATGAGAAGACTGGGCTGAATCTAATGAGAGGGAATTTAAGGGGGATAAATATAAGTACATTTAAGTTTAAAAAATCAACTCCATATATACAAGATGGGGAATGAATGATTCAATAGTAGGTTATCTTAAGGAGATCTGGTTTTTTTTTTCTTAACTGTAAGCTCAATGTGAGTCAGTAGTGTGATATGGTAGCCAAAAAAAAAAAGCCATTGCAATCTTGAGCTGCTTTGACAGACATAGTATTTGTGAATAAAAAGGGAATAGTACCACTGTACTCCGTCTTGATCAGACAACATCTTGAGAATTCAGTTCAAAATTTGAGAGTCAGTTTAAGAGGAGCATCAGTAAGCTGGAAATATAGTGAAGAGGGTGACTAGAATGGTATAAACCTTGGGTCCATGTCATGTCATGAGGCTCTATTAAGTACCTGTGGATGTTTAGCCTGGAGAAGAGAAGACTGAGAGTGGTGTGGAGGCTCATGAGTGCTGTATTCAAGTATTTGAAGGACAGTGATGTGGAAAGGGATTAGACTCATTTTGTTTGATTCCAGGAGGCAGAACCAGGAGCAAATGGGTGGAAGTCACAAAGGGACAAACTTAGGCTTGACTCAAGAAAATTTTTCTAACAATGAGAGCTATCTGAAAGTAGAGTGAGCCACCTTGGAAGGTAGTGGGTTCCCCCATACTGAAGACCTTTAAACAGAGAATGGATGACATGGCTCTGGTATGTGAAAGAACAAATTCCTATTCAGGCATTAGTTGGACAAAATGACCACTGACATACCATCCAATTCTGAAATCCTGTGATTTTATGATTGAAGAGCAACCCTAGACAAGGGACCAAAAATTTAGATGTTAAAGTCTGTCTAGGGATAAGGATAAGGAGTAGACATCTAATTTCTTTGGTATAGGAAGCTCCTGCGTTAGGAAACTCTCTCTACCAAAGCAATACCTTCTATGCAACATAGAAAATAGCTTAGAGCCCTAGAGGTTACGTGACTGTCTTGGGTTACAGAACCAGTGTGTGTCAGAAGACAGACCTGAATCCAGGTCTTCCTAGTTTGAACTTGCTATCCATTACATCACACTGCCTCTTAACGTCTAGATGTTGGGTACTAAACATTTAAACATTTATGAGGAGGACAATGGGAATTAAGATGATATTTTCATTAACATGTATTGTGAAGCATTTAGAGGGCTATAGATCTATGCTAGCTGCTCTTGGGTGGAGGAAACCTAAGCTGCTTGATGATATAATAGGTGGGACCACAGAGATGTGAAGACCTAAGAGGATTCTAGTAGTGAGAGATATCAGGATAGAGTAAAGATGAGCTGATCCAGACCAGAAGGGACGGTTAGACAGCTGATACAAATAGGCAAAAAGCAAGGGCCAGAGTAAAAAAGGAATTCCAGGGGTGGAGCCAGGGGAACACCAGCTTACTTGCCAAGAGATGGGGCTGCCCAGACAGCAGACTTGATTGAAAACCAAAAGGGGTGGTCCTGGCATCCAGACAGGAAAGGAAGCAGACTGGTGCAGTGGAAAGAACTCTGGATTTGGAGCCTGAGACCTTGGATTGGAAGTTTAGCTCTTGCACTGATGACCTGACTAACCTTGAGCAAGTCCTTTTACTTCCTGGAGCCTCAGTTTCCACATCTCTAAAATAAAGTTGGGTTAGATGATCTCTAAGGTCCATTCTAGATAGAAATTTATGATTCTATGTCTTATGACTAGATGACTTCTAAGGTCCTTTCCAAATCCAATATCCTATGGCTTTGGTCTTTCTAGAGACCAAACATGGGGCAAACAGTTTGAAACTAGAGGTAAAAACAAAGTGACTTAGAAAAAACTGTTGCTCTGATGGTCAAGGTCTAGAGAAAGAACCTGCAAACTTAAGAATCAGGGCATACCTGGAAGGAATCCTTTAATACTATAAATACACACCAGGCCACTTGGGTAACATGACATTATCCCTATGCAGGCTTCATATGTAGCTTAAAATCTCAATCTTTTTCACTTCAGTAAAACAGACTTGTGCAGTTGACCTATGTGTACTTGACAGCAAAGATAAGATACTGTTGCATAACCAATGGATAAGAAGAGAAAGTAGGGAAAGGTGAGACCTAGGGGTTTGAGGCTTTGTTGCAGAAATCTCTCCACTTTTCTCCTAGAATGATGGTAGCACTAAGAATATCTAAGAGCAACAGAGGAAAAGGAGAAATTGATTGGAGGAGACTTTCAACATGGGTTTTTGTTTCTTTGCTGTAAGGTAGGAAAGAGGGAGGAATGGTACGATGGGGTAGTCAGAGGCCCTTTCTCTTGGGTTGGAGTGGGCAGTAACTTGTTTCCCCATAAAGTATATAGATCATATTAAAGGAGGGAGAGACTGGACATAGGGAGATCAGTTAGGAATAATCACAATTAAAGTGTAGAGTAATGGGGGTTTGAATAAGGGCTAGTACTGGGGGAATGGAAAAGGAAACAGCCATATGGGAGATGTGAATTGTAAGAACTTGGGACCTGATCACTAAGGCACTACTAGTCTGCTTCAATGGAAGTATGGCTTTCAGAATGAGTGAGGCGACATTCCTACTGTCTTCTGCCTTGGCCAGACATCTGGTATTCTGTGTTCTGGAAGCTAGACTTTAAGAGGGAGGCAGACAGGATGAAACACATCCAAAGGAGGATGGCCAATGTGGTGATGGGTTTAAAAACATGTCAGAGGAGGAGCTACTGAAGGAAATGATAATGTTTAGATGGGAAAAGAGAAAATTTATGGTGCCATGATGACTGCCTTCAAGTATTTGATGGGCTGCACTATGCAAGAATTATTCTGTGCAGCTGCAGAGGGCCAGACCAGGGCCAGGGACTGAAGTTACAAGGAAGCCAATTTTGGCCCAGTGTAAGGAAGGATGTTCTAAAAGTTGGACACATTCAAATATGTAACAGGATGTTTGTGAATTTCTTATCTCTGGAAATGTTTGAATAGATGCCGAATAACCTGCCAGGGTTATAAATTAGTCTTTTTTGCTCTTTTATTTTTCTGTATTTTGATTTCCTTAGTCAAAGATTTGGGAGGGAAATGTCTTAAATTTAGTCCAGGTATTCATATTAGTCGCTTACTTACTTCCAAAGACAATGAGGGTGGGGAAAAAGAACTGTTGGGTGATAATAATTAATGTTAACAATAAGCATTTATATAACACTTGAACGTGTGCAAAGTACTATACATGCATTATTTCACTTGATTCTTGCAACAGCCCCACAACACAGGAATTATTACTACCCTCATTTTACCAATGAAGAAATTGAGAGAGGTTAAGCCACAAAGGTAGTAAGCATGTAGGTCAGGACTTGAACTCAATTTTTCCTTACTCCAACTCTAGTGCTCTATCTGCAAAGGGACCCCTACCCTATTGTTAACAAGTTCTCCAACATTCTCTAACACATTTCTGCCTCCTCACTTTACCTGAAACTTGACACCACCACATCCTTTGGGACTCTTTCTTATGGGAAGCCACTTCTCCTCCATTCTCCACCCCCAACCTCCAACTAATAGTGCAGGAGGAAGGTTTGGCATATTCTTTGTTCCCCACTGTTGCTTTCAAAACATAATACACTAGGCTGCCAAATCATTCCTGTGCCTCCAAATCAAAATAACATTTCCATTTCTACAGTCTGTGCAATCCTTTATATCACCCATAGTAGGTTCTAAATAAATGCTTGACTGGTTAAATGATGCCTTCTATTAGAAATACGTATCATTCCCCAACATCCTACAACCCTCCAGCTCTTGATGTCCCAACGAATGTAGACCTCCCGGACAATCTCTTCACACTTCAAACATCACTGTTTCATAGGACAAAACCACCTCCAAGATATGAGACTTCCACTCTCTGACCATAGCCTACAACCTGACTATCTTTATCACTCTCTCAGGCATAATCAAACTGCTTTTAAACTTCACCAAGGCCTTCCTTTTTTCCAGTCCTTTCCCTCACTCTGGATTCAAGTATGTCGGTATACAGCCCCCAACCTCATGGTCTTCCACTTTATTCACCAACGAGAAACCCTCATTCTTTGACCTTCTGCCATTCCTGACCTGCCAATCCTCCTTCCTGGTTAATTTCCACCATCTTATTTTCCTACCTTCCCCCCCCCCGTATTTGAGTATCACTGTATAAGATCATGAAACTGAGTTGACTTAGCTATAAATCTTTACTGTACTTCAGTAATCCTTCTATGTTATTCTTATTGACTGACTGTCTCTCATTCTCTATAGCAATGTTCTAAATCTTTTCCTCTCTTCTTGAACTTTCAACATGATCCCCAATCTACATACAACTCATGCAGAAGATGACTTCAAAAAAATCTCTAGTACTTAGCACAGCTCCTGGAAGATAGCTGATATTAAATAAGTGATTGTTGATTGATTCATGATGATCTCTGCTTCATTGAAAAGACTGGTAATTTACCAGAAATTCCCTTATCTTTCCTACTTTGCTTTTCAAAACTTATTATCGCAATCACTTACTTTCTCCCTTCCCCCCAGTCATAGAGAGAAAGATATCTCTCCTCTTCATTAGGCTTCAATGCTTCAAAAGAGTAGAAAAAAAATTTTTTTTCATCTCTCTGAAGCAACAAAAAAAGCACTTATGTGTTAGTTAATATTATACTTATCAATGTGTGTGCCCTGTGTTCCAACTGGACTTTACTCCATGAAAAAAGTTACTCTCCTATATAAACTTTGAAGAAAAAACCCCATCCATTGCCTATCAAAGCACTCTGCATGCAGTAGGCATTTAATAATTATTTGTTGAATTGAACTGAATAACTAATCTTTTCTAAGGTTTCTTGTTTGTAGTCTGGCTTGAGTTGTACTATTGCGTGTTCAAATAATTATAAAACATAGGGAGTTTAATGAATTATATATTTTTATTTGCAGTTTAAGTATATTCTCCTCCCCTCCCCCAGAAAAAGTTCTTTTTTTTTTCTTTGAAACTTTGTTTTACTCAAGGGTCCTCATTAGAGCACTAACCTCACTTCATCAAGATCCACCCTCAGCTGAACTACCTCCCACTTCCTCAGGTAAGTGAGTGAGCCTTCTTTCATGTGAGGTCAGCCAGAAGAAACAAATCCCCTTCCAAAGTTGTCCAGAGAGGACCAGGGGGAGAGAGGTTCCTCTATTTAGAGGAATAATAAGACCCACACTAGCTTTCCGGAGCCCTGTGAGAAGTGGAGCTTTGCTATGAGCCCCTCCTGATCCCAGAAGATACTGACCTGGTGAAACCACAGGACAAGAGTAAAAGGTACCAGATATCTTCTCAGTGGGGGGACGAGAGGAGAGTAACTGGAGGGAGCAAAATAGCTTGCAGTTATATATCTAAGATCTTTCAGACAACTGCTGAGGGCAGCTTCTGTTTACATTAGAGTTTGGGCAGAAATCTTCTTATCTACCTCAAAGGCAGCTGAGCAAGCCAATGTCATATCTGAGAAAAAGGCAAGACGTACCAGGAAAAAAAGTAGAAAAATCAGCTACAGATCAAGCCTTGCTCAGTTTCCTCATCAGTCCAATGATAGCACTGGAGCAGTGGATCTCTAAGGCGTCTTTCACCTTTAAATCTAATGATCTGAAAAGGTTCCTCATCTGAGGAAATCCACAAACCAGAGCGGAAAAACAACGTGGAGAATATTTGGAGCTCCAGAGAACAGAACCAGAGAGCAATGTATATATGGGAAGTTATAGAGATGTGAATTTTAGTTTGAAGTAAGGAGTACCTTCATAATAGAGTAGTACAAAACTGGAATTCATTGCTTTGGATGTAGTCGGTTTCTCCTTGCTTAAGGCCTTCAGGCAGCAGATTGATAATTTATCAAGTATGCTGAGGGATCTTGGTTAGGTTTGATGGTCTCTGATAAACCATCCACCTCTAAAGATTCTAGGTTTCTGAGATTTAGCAGTCGTTTATACAGAGGTGATAGTTGAATCCAGGGCTTCTTAAACTTTTTCCAGTTGAGACCCCTTTTCGTGTTTTGGCAACATTCGTTGGCGCTGTGTGGTTGCAACAGCATGGAAAGTGCTAAGTTTGCCTGTTGTTTGTTCGAAACCAAGGCTGCAGTGAAGTTGTGCAGCGCTGCAAGTTCAATACCTGCCATAAATACCTAGGATTCATTTCGAGTTTGATTTTGAATTAATTTTTGGTCGTTGCAAGTTCAGAAACCTTTTACTGTACCCACAGTTTAAGAAGAGTTGGACTTGAATCCATGATAATGGAAGAGATTTCTAAGGGATCATGTACGGTGAGAAAAGAAGAGAGCCCTAGACTGAGCCTTTAAAAATGCCACACTGTTATGGAACAGGAGAAGTCAGGAAAGGAATTGAACAAGGAGGCTTAAGAAAGGTAACAAGGATGGGAAAGTTGAGTCAAGGAAATCTACATTAGGTCCTAGAGGCTAAGGGTGGTGGTGTTGTTGTTGTTGGTGGTGGTGGTGGTAGTTTTCAAAGCTTTGTTTGAGGATCTAGGGATACTTAGCCTGGAGAAGAGAATGGGGGTGGGAATTATCTCTGTCTTTAAATACTTGAAGGGCTGTCATGTGGAAGGAGTTAAGCAGAAGGAAACCTTTCAACTGTTTAGAAACCATGCCTTTAGTTATGATTTCTAGGCTTTTGCCAAGAATTTAAATCAAGCTCTGTATCCTTAATTAGAAGGAACTATATTCTTCCACTGTTTTGAAAACATATACATTAACCAGTTTCTAGTCTTGTAACACCTTTTCAATTCTTCAGGATTTTTTTGAACGCTTATAGCAGCCTAGCAATTAGCCGGCAAGTTCTTTCACTGCTCTTGGTGATAAGTCATTCAAATCTAAATGCTCCCTTACTATTTATCTTGGAATTTAAGACCTTGCTAATCATATCTTTCCCAGTATTAGGATCACACTCCTTGGAAGAAAACAAAACAGAAAGAAAATAAGAGTTGAATAGTTACTCTTCATCATTAGTTATGATCATCCCCTCAGCAACAGTCTTATCTCAGTTATTCTTCCTGTTACTCATATAGTTAAACAAAACAAAACTCGATGACTCTTGGCATTGATCACAAGCCTCACTTATGATACCATTCTTGATATTATTTCATGGGATTATGCTATCTTTTGTTTTTTCTTCTTTTTCTTTTTTGCATTTATCTGTCCTTGCTTCCTACATCTGTACATCTTTCAAAAAATTCAAGGCAGAAGTCACATTGTGCCTGGTTTTCTCACTCCTACACTAGCCACTCTCTCCTCTTTCCCCCATCTTGACCCTCTAATGAACCAGTTCAACTCTACACTATCCTCTTCTCTTGAGTCTTTGGCCCTTTTCTCATACCATTAAATTAACATCCTGCCAAATCTCAGTCTTCAATCATTACCGTCATATGCTGCCTTTGCTACTACATAGTGTTGCCGAATAAAGGTGGAGAAAATCATGCAACTATTCTGGCTGGCTTGATTAAAATTTTATGTTACATAATGTCAAGTGGGCCCTCTCTGCATCTAGGCAATCTTTTTACACCTTCTATATCAACTCATTTTCCCACTTTCAAGAGTGCTCTTCCAAACCTTTTCATCCTTCCTCAAACTTCCCATTGCTTCCCATACATACCTCCTTAGCTGACAACATTGCCTCATATTTTACAAGAAAAAATGAGGTCATTCACTGAGATCTTCCTCTTCTTTCCTCTTACTCATCATATCTTACTCAGATGCCTTCTTCTATTATTACTTATCCATCTGTCTGCAATCCCATCCCATCTTGTCTCCTCCAATAGATAGTCTGTCCCTTCTGTCATCCCAGCCCTCTCATTTATCTTTAATCTCTCTGTCTACTGGCTTTTCCCTACTGTCTACAAACACGCTCACAGTTTCCTCATACTCAAAAGAAACCCTCACTGGATCACTTCATCTCAACTATCTTCCTTTATCTCTTCTACCCTTCATGGTAAAACTCCTTGAGGAGGCTATCTACAATAGATGTCTATGCTTCCTCTCTTCTCACTATCTTCTTAACCCCCTACAATCAAGCTTTTGACTTCATTATCTCTCCAAAGTTGCCAACGATCTCCTAATTGCCAAATCCAAGGCCTTTTTTCAATTTTAATTTTTTTAAAACTTTTTACCTCTTTGTAGCCTATGATAGATACTACTGATCATGCTCTTCTCTCTCATAGTCTCTTTTATCTAGGTTTCCATGACACCCCTCTCTCCTAGTTCTCCTACCTATTAGAGTACTACTTCTGCCTCTTTGCTGAATCTTCATCTAGATCACATTCACTAACTATGGGTGTCCCACTTCAGAAAATTAGCTCAGGCTCTGTGTAGGACCTCCTTCTCTTTTCCCTCTATACGACTTCACTGGTGATCTCATCAACTCCCTTTGATTTAAATTTAATCATCTTTATGCTGATGATTCTCAAATCTACCTATCCAGCCCTAATCTCTCTTCTGTACTCCAAGTTTGGATCTCCAACTGGCTTTCAGACATTTCAAACTGGGTGTCCAGTAGACATCTTAAACTCAACATATTCAAAACTAAACTCATTATCTTTCCCCCTAACAAATCCACTCCTTTTCAAACTTCCTAATTACTGTGGAGGGCATCACCATCTTCCCAGTCTCCTAGGCTCATGATCTAGGAGTCATTCTTGACTCTTCACCATCTCTCACATTCTCCTCCCCACCCTGCCACATGCCTGTTGCTAAGGCCTGTTGATTTCACCATTCCAACATCTCTCAAATATGTTCCCTTTTCTGCTCTGATACCACCCTAGTGCAGGCACATTACTTCATGCCTGGACTATTTCAATAACCTGCTGGTTGTTCTTCAAGCCACAAGTCTCTCTCTACTCCAGTCCATTCTCCATTCAGCTCCCAAAGTGATTTTCCTAAAGCATGGGTCTAACCATGTTACTCCCTGCTCAACAAACTCCAGGGGTTCTCTCTATCAACTCTAGGATGAAATAAAAAAAATCTCCTGTTTGGTATTCAAAGCCCTTCATAATCTAGCCACCCTCCACCTTTTCAGTATTCTTACTCTTTATACACTCCACCCATCATGTACTCTTTGATCCAGTGACACTGGTCTCTTTGTTGTTCCACAGACAAGACATTCCATATCTTAGCTCCAAGTATTTTCCTTTAAGTCTCAGTTAAAATCCTACCTTCTACAGGAAGCTTTTCCCAATCCCTCTTAATTCTGGTGCCTTCCCTCTGTTAATTTTTCCTGCTTATCCTGTATAAAGTTTATATATATTCGTTTGTCTTCCTCATTAGATTGTGATCTCCTGGAGGGCAAGCACTGTCTTTTGCCTTTCTTTCTACCCCCAATGCTTAGCACAGTGCCTGGGCACATAGTAAGTACTTAATAAATACTTGTTGACTGACTCTAAAGTGGTACACTCACTTCCTTCTGAGGTTCCAGTTATTTTCACTTCACCTAGTTCCTCTGTATTGGTGAGAATCAGACTCAGAATAGCAACCCCCCCCTTGTCACTTGTCACAAAAAATAGAATTATTAGCAAGGCAAAGCAAGAATTTGTCAAAAACTCTGTTATGAGGAGAGAGAGAGAGAGAGAGAGAGAGAGAGAGAGAGAGAGAGAGAGAGAGAGAGAGAGAGAGAAAGTCAATAAGTTACAATAGTTGAAGTTCTCCTATCACAACTATATCCTGCCTCCATGATAACATTGTAATCTTCAGGAGTAAATCATCATCCATTTCTTCATTTTGACCCAGCAGTATGTAGCTACTCTGATGACAATACCATTTAATTCTCTTGTTTCCCACTGAAATGCTATTTACCATATTACTCCCCACTTCACCCCCATCTTAAATGAGTGAATTTTCACAGTGTGGAAATACAATGCCACTTTACCACCTTTCAACCCTAGTCTATTCCTCTTGAACAAGAGATAACTTTTCTTTTCCATACACCAGTCGTATAACCTAGCAAGCCTCAGGGAACCTATGAGATTAAATTAACCTCCATTAAGGTCTCTAGTTCAATTTGTTACTAAATCATATTCTGCTAACTGGTATATAACCATCTTAGGCACCAACGATGTCATTGCCTTTTCCCAAATGTTGTCTTCTGTGTGTTACTGGATATCCTCAATACTACTTTTCCCTCAAATCCAAAAGAGAGTCCTGGTGTGGCACCTCCTCTCTTCTCAGTAGACAAGGTAACAAAGTATTAGGGTCAGAAGATAAAAAGAGCAAGATGCATTCTCCTGACTCTAGGGGGACTTTGTGTCCCAATTACTAAGTCATTCTTCAAATGGCTATAATTGACAGCTTCTGTTGGTGAGGAAGACAGCAGGGGACTGAAGAACAAGTGAGCCTCAGAGACATTAGCAGAGAGTGAGGTTAGAAGACGTTGATGTGCCATCGTCCGTTAATCAAAGACATTAGGACTTTGCTTGCATGACCATCAGCTTCAACCATCCTATTCCCCAGGGGAGCAAAATGACAAAAAAGAAAAAAGGAGAAAACAGTGGTGTTGAGCTTGCCTTTGCTACTGGTTAAATATTGTAACTAAAGAAGGAGCTATGGCAATGACCTCATTGCTTGAGGACATATTAATACCAGCGTACAAGGACTTGCATTTTCAAGTTTCAAGAAAACGTCTTTCAGTTGATTATGAAGTTTCTTTGTTGCAGACAAGGCACCATCTATTTTATTCAATATGTCATTAGGTCATTTAATTTCAAATTCAGTGATTTGTGTGTGTGTGTGTGATGATGTTTCCTATCTCTACTGTATTTTCCCAATGGAAAGAGCACTGCATTGGGGTTCAGGGGACCAAGGATCAAATCCTGGCACTGTCACTGTCTGTGTGACCTTAGGAAAATTACTTAGCCTTTATGGTCTTCAGTTTCCCCATCTGTAAAATGAGGTGGAATTCGATGTCCTCTAAAGCAGTGATATCAAACTCAAAGAGAAACAGATCCCTCCAATCACATATTGATTAAGAAAACCACAAATTAATGTTATCTATGTTGTGTTGTATTTTCATTTATTTTGTTAAACATTTCCCAACTACATTTTAATCTAGTTCTCAGCACTCAGGAGTTTTGAGGGTCATTTGCCCACAGTGGTCATGAGTTTGATACCTCTGTCTAAGGTCTAAATCTATGATCCTATTAGCCCCAACCCACAATGTCCCCTTTTCTATATTCCAAAATAGTTTCTCCAATTTTTCCCCCTTGATCTTGTTTTTTTTTTGAGGCAATTGGGGGTTAAGTGATTTGCCCAGGGTCACATAGCTAGTAAGTGTCAAGTGTCTGGTCTGAGACTGGATTTGAACTCAGATCCTCCTGACCCGAGGTTTGGTGCTCTGTCTATTCCCTTGATCTTGATAACAGAATTAGGGTTAGAGATCTTAAAGCTATTCATGTCTATTATGAATATTTTTAGTAACAAATATTTTCTACAAGTATAATGTCTTTTGTTCCCTTATCCCTCCATAGCTGCTAAAAGAAAGCTTTGGCCACTGGCTGGACATCTCTTTTTCCTGAAAAAGCAGATGTATCTGAAAATCTTTGCTGCCATCCGCTTCTCTTGGCTGCTATTCTGTAAGTACATTGTGGTTTTCCTCACTTCCTTTAGGGCACTACTTGCTTGCTGATTTAAATCCTCCTGACATTGCACCCACTGTGAGACCAGTTTGCAGCTGAATAAGGTAGGAGATATTTTGCTTCCTCCTTGAGCTGCAGAAAGAACACCTTTGTGTGGTACTCTTTAATTCACGGATTGGGAGGATTTCTCCTAACATCTTAAAGTGTGAGATCACAGCACACACCAATTTAAAAATTACAGCTGTATAATAAATGCCCTAATGAACCTGCTCTGTCAGTTGTCATTTGTTAAAACTAATGGCACAAATGCATCATTTAGCCATCCCAATGTTCTGTAACAATTGTTGTTGTTATTCAGTCACGTCCAACTCCTTGTGACTCCATTTGGGGTTTTCTTGGCAAAGATACAGCAATGACTTGCCATTCCTTCTCCAGCTCCTTTCACAGGTGAAGAAACTGAGGCAAACAGGGTTAAGTGACTTGCCCAGCGTCACACAGCTAGTAAATGTCTGAGGCCAGATTTGAACTCAGGAAGATGAGTCTTCCCGGCTTTAGGCCAGGCACTCTATTCACTGCTCCACCTACCTATAACATTAGAATTGTAATATTTTAGGTAAATGGCTGGACAGCAATTTGAGTGAAAAAGAACTTGGGGGTTTAATGGATTATAAGCTCAAAACAAGTTAACCCATGTGACATGCAATTCCCCAGAAACTGATGTGCTCTTGGGCTTCACTGATAGAGGTAGAGTGTCCAGAGTAAAGGGTGTGACTCCCTCTGTACTGTCTTGGTCAGACCACTTCTGGGGTATTATGTTAAGTCCTAGGTATTATGTTTTAGACAGAATACTGACAAGGTAGAATGCAATGAATATGATGAGTAGACTACGAATTGGGTCCCATATGGATTATTTGAAGGAACTAAGAGTATTCAGCCTAAAGGCTCATGGTAGCTATCATCAAATCCTTAAAAGAAGGTCCTGTGGAACAGGGATGAAAACGTTCTCCTTGGCTCCAGGAAACTAGAAGCCATGGGGAGAAATTTAGGAGAAGCAGATTTTGACTTGATATAGAAGAAAACTTTCTAATGTGTCAGTTCAATTCAACAGACACTAAATATCTACTATGTGCACAGTACTGTGCCAGGCACTGACATACAGAGACCAAAATGATAAATAGTCCTTTTCAGGGCAGCTAGGTGGTGCAATGGATAGAGCACCAGCCCTGAAGTCAGGAGGACCTGAGTTCAAATTTGGCTTCAGACCAAACACTTGATACTTACTAGCTGTGTGATCCTGGGCAAGTCACTTAACCCCAATTGCCTAAAAAAAAATAGCCCTTTTCCTCAAGGAGATTACATTCTGATGGGGGATACAATGGATGAGTATCCAAGTGTAGGAGGGAGAGAGAAGATGAATAAACAGGGGGCCAGATAAAGCTCTGCATGTGTAGGAGCTCAAGCCAAGTCTAATGTTTAGCTAAGGGTGCTGCTAAGAGTTAAACGTGAAGGACTGCATTGCAGTCATGGGAGTTAGCCAGAGCCAAAGCAGAGTTAGAAGATGGAATGCAGAGTTTAAGAATAGCTAGTAGGTCATTTTGGCTGAAATGTGGATTAAATTAGGGTAATATGAAATAAGATCATAAAGGTGGGTAAGAGCCAGATTGTGGAGGGGTTTGAATGTCAGGCTGAAGAATTTGTAGTGTATTCTAGAGGCCATAGGGAACCATTGAAGATTTTTGAGCAGAAGAGTGATGTAGTCAGAATTGTGCTATATATAAAATAATTTTTTTTTATTACTGGGAAGGTTATTTTAGCAGTTTTCTTGAAGGTAGATTGTAATCAGGGGTGTGTCGGTAAATGTTTAACAACCACCTCTTGGAAGCGGGGAGAGTGGAGCATGACATCCCTTTAAGTTTAATCATCATTAACATTTTCACCATCATTTTGTTAAGTCTAAACAATCAACAAAACAATAAATCAAACCCTGATTTGTATTGTTTGCTGATTTCTGAGGTATAATTGCTCACATTGAAAATCTAACAATTAGGCTCTTGAGAGACTGCTGAAGATGGCTCCATAAAACCCGTAAGTAATGGAGGAGAGCCAGTAATCAGGATAGTATTGTATCTGGCCACAAGCTGCGAGGACCTGAACTAGAGTGGTAGCAATGTACATGGAGAGAAAGTAACAGTTGTAAGAGACAACACGGAGAGAGACCGTGGCAACTTTTTCAATGTGAAAGGAGGAGGAAGGATTTGAGAAAGAGGGAAGAATCAATGTGGTAAACCTGAGTTACTCTCTAAAAGTGGAAAGAGTTATCTTGGGCCCTCTATCATGGGAAATCCTCAAGGGGAAACTGGATGACAACTCATTGGGGATATTGTAGAGATATGGGTTCATGTGTGGATTAGACTAGATCACCTCTGAAGTGCCTTCTAACTCTGAGATTCTGTGAAGTACCACACACAAGGAAGTCAGTTCCCCATTATCACACCCGAACTCCACCTCTATCCTCTGAGTCCCCTCAGCTAAAACAACTGAACTGTCAAGTTATCTTTCCTGTAAGAGACCAGAATCCCTGCCTTGCCTCCTTTTCTGGCTTTGAAACATTTTTCTCAGTGGGTATTTATGAAATCAGCAGAAAACCTACATTCTCCTCCTCCCCAAAAAAACCCAAATTACCAACTCATAGTAAATCCTCTGATGTTCTCTCTGAACTTGAATAGGCTTCTACCTGGATGAAGACATACAATATATCTCTGAACCCTTCTAGCCTGGCAACACCTGCCAAAGCTTGAGCTCCAGCGACATAACTTTTGGCCACCCAGGATCACTTCCATGCCAAGATGAAGCACTGGAGGGGAACTTCGATGGAAGTGACCCTGGGTTTCATCTAGTACCTCTGTCATCAAAGGAAATGAAGTTAAGCTGGCAACACTTGTTCTTGATCAGTCCTAGAGGCAGCTGGATAGCACAGTGGACCTGGAGTTCTGAATTCCAGGATGGAGGGTATGGAAGCAGTTCAGCCCATGGACAGGAGCAAAGACTATAAAGTGAGTTCTCTTCCAAAAGTGTAATTCAATGATTCTACTTTGGCTTCTAAGGAAATGATCTAAATTTCTGTTCAAATATTTTGTTCTCAGAGGTTTAAAAAAGCCTTAATTATTTTCTGGTGATTCCTACTCCATTTCCCTATATACATACATACATACATACATACGTACATACATACATACATACATACATACACACATATATACATATATATAGATATATAGATATAGATATAGATAGATATACATACACATACACACACACATATATAGAGTGTATACATATATATACACATACACATACACATATACATATATACATATATGTATATATACATATATGTATATATATATTTAAAAACCTCCATAAGCATTATGCTCAATCTCCCCCATCACCAAAGCCACTTTGTTGTTTTAAGTGGTAATTAGCTATTATTCTCATTCCTTCTCAAACAGTTCTCTCCCAAAGTGAATGTCCAAGTTTAAGCAAGGGGTTGCTTTGTGCAATACTCCATCAGTCAAGGGGTATTTATTAAGCACCTACTATTTTCAAGGCATGACTATATTCATATCTCAGCAATATCAATGACCTGTCTATTGCAAGTATAAATTCTCCTCAGGGGAATTATTAGCCTTCTTCCTATCTTTGGCAGTATCTCTTTCCCCCTCTTTCTTACCATTCCACCCCACCTAACACAAGAGAAAGGGGTCAATCCTAGAGAAAGGAAGCCTGTTTTGAAAATGAAAGTCAAATGCTTCATATTGGCAAGAAGAACCCTATTAAGGGGGTGGTTTTTGAGCACTTAGGAAAGTGGTGATCATGGCCTAGTATGGAAGGAAGGAAATGAGCGTTTATTTAGTGCCTACTATGTGTCAGACACTATGTTAAGTGTTTTACAAATACCTTATTTGTTCCTCTCAGTGCGAACATTATTCCCATTTTACAGTCAAGGAAATGGAGTCAGAGGTGAAGTGACTTGCCCAGGGTCACACAGGTACCAAGTGTTTGTAGGGGGATTTGAATTCAGGTCTTATTGACCCCAGGCCCAGGGCTCTATCTACTGTGCCACCTAGCTGTCTCTGGGTTGATCAAAGCAAACTTCATTTCCTTTGATGAAGTGATCCTTGTGGCCAAGTTTTGGCAGGTGCTGCCAGGCTAGAAGGACTCAAAGATGTATGGTATGTCTTCATCCACGTACAAGCCTATTCAAGTTCAGAGAGGACATCAGAGGATTAGCCGTAAATTTATAATTTGGGTTTCTTTTATTTTTTGGAGGAAGGCAGGGATTGAGAGGATGGAAGAAGCCTCAGTAAAGTAGTAAATTATCTCTTCAGGTGTGGAGAGATTTGTCTGCATCTAGAAAGGAAACACTTGTGCAGAATAAATCTTATTTCCTTGAAGTATAGAATGAAGTACCAAAGTGAGGGGAAGAAGCTGGATGGTACAGTGAACTTGGAATCAGGGAGACTCATTTTCCTGAGTATAACTCTGGCCTCAGACACTTACTAGCTGTGTGACCGTGGGCAAGTCACTTACCCCTGTTTGCCTCAGTTCTTCATCTGTAAAATGGGCTGGAGAAGGAAACGGCAAACCACTCCAGTGTCTTTGCCAAGACAACCCCAAATAAGGGCATAGAGAGTCAGATACAACTGAAATGACTGAATAACAACAAACCAAAATGAGGAAGAGCTGCTTGTGAGCAGTGGCTGTAAAGAGTTAAAGGATGTTACACTGGCAGGCCTGGGAAAGGAATTTATCAGAAATCTCATATCACACAAACAAAGATAGAGGTGGATATAATATTGGAAAGTACAGTTTTACTCTGAGATTGTTAATTCTATGGATGCCCCTGAACTAGAATTCCACAGGGAAAGCCAGGAAGTTCTTAGGGATCTAATCTCAGGACATAAAACGTGACCAAGCCTGGGGATGAGCAGACTTTGACTCTTGCTGCTGTGAATATTTTTCTCACAGCAAGAGAAAGCAGGCACATCCTATGGCCCAAGGGTCTCAGATTTGACAAGAAATTCTTTTGTTTTCTGGGTCAAGAAGGCTACAGGAAAGCTCACAGCATGTTGAGTGCAGCTCTTGTAGCTGAATTATGGAGGATCATGGGATAGTGGAATTAGAACTAGAAAGAACCTCAGAGATCATCTAGTCTAACTTCCTCATTTTACAGATAAAGAAACATGGCCCAAAGAGATCAAGTGACTCGCCCAAGGTCATACGATAGTTTAAGGGTCAAAAGCAGGATTTGAAGTCACACTGATTGGGCAGACATGCAGACATGGATGGTTTGCTGAAATCTGTATCACTGGTAGGAGTGGTGAAGATGATGATGATGAAGATGATGATAAAGAAGATGATGAAAGCTAATATTTATATAATGCCTTAAGCTTTACAAAAGAGTTGAGGCTGAGAGTTGCTGAGAGTTGTATACCTAGTAGGAATAAGCCAGGAATTGGGCTTAGGGCTTCTTGATGTCCTGAGCCCAACTCCTGGCATATTGATTGATTGATTATTGATCTATTCAGTATGCCACCAACCTGCCTCACATCTACAAGACATACTTAGAAATGGCCAAATATTAGAAAAGAAGTATCTAGGAGTGAAATTTGTCTTCAGTTGTGTAGGTTTATCAGAGGTTTGTTATACATCGATTGTGGGTGTTTCCTATGTTTATTAATGGAAGCTATGGGGTCTCTTCCCTTGGGGAGGTTAAAAACAGAAAGAAATGTGTTGGCATGGCTTAGGAGTGGACCCTATCTTAAGGAAGGGGGATATACAAGATGAAATCTACCAAACCTTTCTCACTCTACGTGTATTTTGTGATTGAAAAGCAACATGAACATGTTACTGTCAGCTGAACGTGTTATTACTGTTTGGTATTCAAAGGTCCTTTTTCAACTCAAAAGGTGCTGAACTCATGGATCATGCCACTGCCCTTTGGTCATTCTCCATAACACTGGGGCTATTCCCTGGCCGGACCAAAAAAATGGCTCGTCCATAGGGATCTGAAGGAGGACCTTGGCAGGGGACATCTCGCTCTGTGAAGGGGGCCCCAGGGAGCTTCTCTCATGCTCGGGGAGTTCTAGGATGGGTGTCCCCTCCATCTTCCTCTCCTCACCTTGCTCAGTTTGCCGGGTATGCTTTTTGTGCTCTTGCAGCTGCTGATCTTTTCTCCGTGGGTCCACCTTTGACTCAGCAGCTCACCCCGGAACTCATTTTCTGAGGGTTTAAGAAAATACAGGGTCAGGACATGAAAACAAGTCATAGGACTGCCAGCCATGCTGACTTAGTCGGGGATTTAGCTGTTCCTCCCCCCTATTCTTCAGCATAGGTGCCGAAGCAGGGCAGGCAGCAGTAATACCTGGACCAGGCTTCTAGGAAATGGAGGAGTCCATCCACTAGGTCAGAGGCTCCTCACCCATCAGGAATTTACCAACAGAGAGGGGGGCAAGTTCAGGAACTCTGTGGCTGGTCTGAGGCCTCATTGCCTCCTCACAAGACCCTCTCCAGCTCTAGAGCAGGGCAACAGTGACTCAACCCTGCCTTCAGTCAAGCCTTTCCAATTAAAGCTATAGGATCATAGATTTATACTGATACAGGGCATTATGGGTCACCTAGTCCAACCACTCATTTAATAGATAAGGAAAATGAGGCCCAGAGAGATTAAAGCAGAGCCATTATTTGAAACCATGTCTTCCACCTCCAAATCCAGTTTATGTCTCCTTGGGACAAGAGTTTTAGGCCCCAGGCCCACTGAATTTTGGTTCTACTGTCTAACTAGAAGAATTCATCAGAGCAAGAGAAGAGTCCAACAGATCCTTCACATTTCTTTAGCTGGGGATATTTGTAATGTGCATTGTGGTTGAATGGAAATCACATTGGTCTTGGAGTCAGGAGATCAGGCTTACAATCCTGGTTCTACTCACTAGCTGGATGATCTTCATCATCTCATTTTTACTACTTTGCATGTCAGTTTTCTAATCTGTAAAATTAAGTGGAAGGATAATATGGCCTCTACAGGTCCTTATGGCACTAACAATCTATGATCCTAATATTTAAAAATCAGGTCAGGAAAGGAGTACTTGAGGAGCCTGGAAGAATTCTGCATATCAACAATAGCAAAAAAAGGCAAATAGGCCCCCAAAATGAAAAGAGGGTCATACTCCTAGGACCCTAGGAGGTTTGGATGAAACAACCCAATTTATAAAAACCCATATCTATCAAATGAAGAAGTTGGAGGCAGTTATTCATATTACAAATAGATTCTTTGCTTCAAAAGAAAAAAAATCTGAGCAATTCCTTTAAATAGGAGACTGTTGCAATTAAAAAATATTAGCCTATCTACAAAATTTAGTAAACCTATAACTTTTCTGGGAACACATTTATCTTGAAAAGTGGGGTCTCATTAAAATCCTCTTAATAGTTGGGCAGGCCATTGCCTCCCTACAACAGAGTGTTCTGAACATCTCCACCATCCACTTTAGAACCTTTTTCCCCCCTTAACTCTGTATTTCTGATTCTCTTCAGGTTAAGGCATCTGGTTAATATTTAATTCTTCACATAAATTCACACATCTGAGCAGAGGACAAGCCCATCGGGCTGGACATGACAAAGAAATACATTGTGTACCTATTCCCTGCACGTCAATCCACGTTTCCATGACAACTGGCTTGCTTCGGCAGCTTTGAAAAGGAGGTCATTAAGGAACCAACAATAAAAACAGGAAATGAATATTCCTGCATTTTGAGCTTTCCTCTTCACCTGCCTTCCTCACCACTGCAAAGTGGGTTTGGTACCTGGGAAAGTAACTAACTTACCTAGTCAGGTGCAGCACCGCTCTGCCTGTTTATGTCTTCAGCAGTTTTTATTTCTATCACAATTAGCTTGATCTGCCCACTAGCCCACTATATCCATGCCCCAAGTCCCTAAAGAACTCACAGTGGGACTCACAGAACAATCATCATTTGGGATGCATGGAAATGTACTTAACTGCATTAAGGATGCCTCATTCTTAATTAAGGAAATACAAAAATGATGAAATGTCAGACTTAGTTGGCCAGAAGATTGAAGAGCAATGTTGCAAGATCATTAAATTTAAATGTCAAGAGAATCAGGGGAAGTGTAGTCTTGGCTCTGCCGTAGATGACTAAGGCACATACACAAAGTACATCGGGGCAATTAAATGGCACAGTGAATAAAGTGCCAGGCTTAGGGCAGGAAGACCTGAGTTCAAATCTGGCCTCAGACACTTAATAGTTGTGTGATCCTGGGCAAGTCACTTAAACCTGTTGGCCTCCATTTCCTTATCTGTAAAATGAGCTAGAGAAGGAAGTGGTGAACCACTCCAGTATCTTTGCCCAGAAAACCGCAAATGGGGTCACAAAGAGTGGGATGCAACTGAAACAACTGAACGACAACAATGATGAGGTACATATATGATCATCCTTCTTATTTTCTTACTCTTCATTCTCACCTCTGCTATGTACTGATAGTTACCTCAGAACAAGCTTCCAGGCCTCACATATTAAGTCAAAGAAGACGTGTGACTTTGGCTGTGGCTCTCGGGGTCCTCACTGGGAACATCAGTCCCTGAGGCTTGAGAGGAAAGAGGCAGTAAGAAGTGTTCTACTTGAAATTATCTTATACACTGCAGCGGACAGTAGCTTCTGTCTGCGTCAAGGTTTGGGAGGAATGTATTAAGAGGCGAACAACGTCAGGCTGGGTTATGGAGATTAATAGCCCCCAGTGCAGCAAACAAGCAATTTTCATAGTTGTTTTCCATGAGAGTTAGCCATGAGAGCCACAAAAAGAATCACAGAGAATTGAGGATCTTGCTTCCAGTGAGTACAGAGGACTGGAAGAATTTATCAGTGATCCAGAGAATAGATTATGATTACATTTATGTTAGTAGCAAGTAACAGCGACATATGCAAAAAGTAGAGGTTATTCTCCCTAATAAAGGAACGCGTGAATGACTAAAGGAACACTTCTGTAATTATGCCACCACCACCACCATCGTCACTGACATTTATGTAGGGAGGAAACAGGCATTCATCCAGTATATACTGTGTGCCAGACACTGTGCTAAGCTCTTTACAAATATCTCATTTTACCCTCACAACAACCCTGGGATGTGGGTGGAATTATTCTCCCCATTTTACAGATGAGGAAACTGAAGCAGACAGGAGGTGAAGTGACTTGCCCAGGGTCACACAGCTAGTAAGTATCTGAGGCCAGATTTGAATTCAGACTCCAGGCTATGATTCCAGGCCCAGTACTCTATCCACTGAGTCAATTCAGTGTCTCATGTAATGCTTTAAGGTTTGCAAAGAGATTTCTTCTCACTTAACCTTCACAATACCCTGTTACATATTGTATCATAGGCATTATTATCTCCTCTTATATACAAAGTTGAGTTATTGAGAAAAATAAAGGACCGGTAGAGTCTGAATGCAGATTGAAGCATACTGTTTTTCACTTTCTTGATTTTCCTTGTTTTGTGTTTGTTGTTTTTTGTCTGTGTTTTCTTTCTCAGCATGACTAATATGGAAATATGGTTTGCATGACTGCACATGTATAACCTATACCAAATTGCTTTCCTTCTCAGTGAAAGTGGAGGGAGATAATTTGAAACCTATTCTTTTTTAAAAATGAATGTTAAAAATTGTTTCTACATGTAATTGGAAAAAATGAGATATTAAAAAGAAAGACTAGAACGAGTGCTTCAAAGAGAAAACAAATGAGAGGATTAAATCCCAGGGAACCAGGGCTCTAGAACTGGTAGGGACCTTAGAGAGTATCTAGTCCAAACCTCTCATTGTACAACCGAAAAAGCTGAGGTCTGAGGAAGTTAAATAACTTGTCCAAGGTAATAAAGGCAGTAAGTGACAGAGGCTGGTTTGGAACCCAGGTCCTTTGACTCCAAAAATAATCTTGAAGAAACAAAGGGGAATCCTAACTGAAGGACTGAATATGAAAGAGGGTTGAGAGTTAGACTCTTTGGGAAGGAAGCTCACTCTTGTACTCCAAGGGGTAAATATTGTGAATCCATAGTTGCCTTACGGTGGGGAATTTGATAACAGTCAGAGGAATAAATTGGTAGAGTTGAAGGTGACTGAGGCAGCTATTTGTCAATCTCAGCAACATCATAAAAGTCAATTGTTTTCCTGTGGCATGTATCTGGGACATGACAGATTCCCTAGATTTTTCAAACCTGATGACCAATACCTACTTCATTCATGATAACCAAAAAAAAAAAAACAACACAAACAGATAGCTCTCTGCTCACTCTATCTTACTGCCACACAAAATATAAAGGATCCCAATGAGGAAGAAAAGGGATATCTAAAGGTACTGATGTGGATTCACATGAAATTCATCAACTATAAATGTTTTAAATATCCCTGTTGAAGATGGAATCAAGGCCAGGTGAGGAGGATGCATAAAAAGAATGGGACAGCCCCATTAAGAATAGTGTCAGGAACATGAAAGAGAAGAATAAATTTTGGCTAGCAATGAATGCTAAAAGAGTAAAAAAAAGGACTTTCAAAAGACCCTATATTGGGATAAGAGGAAAATCAAGGCAGGGATAAGACCACTGCTCCAATAAAGTGTTGGTAAAGGACAAGTTCAAAAGAGGTAGAACTACTAAAACCTATCTTAAATTGAAACTCAATATATGAGAGAAGGTAATACAGTCCTTAACTGCCCTCAGTGAATGGAAGTCACAGTATTATGGAATCACAAAATTTTGTCAGGGATGTCATAGAGGGATCCCTGTTCAGATACAGATTGGAATTAATAGTATTAATAATTTATAATTAATAAAAAAATAATAAAATTATATGTAATATAATTAATAATAAAATAATAAATAACAATAATATTAATAATCCCTTCAATACAGACATTGCATAATCAGCAACACTAGTGGCATTTCTGAAACATCTGCCTAGATGAACGATAAGTGTGTCATAGAAGTGGAAGATGAGGATGCTAGGCAATGCAGTGGATAGAGCATTGAGCCTAGAGTAGGGAAGACCTGAGCTCAAATCCAGCCTGGGTAAGTCATTTAACCTCTGTCTGCCTCAGTTTCCTCAACTATAAAACAAAGCCAATAATAGCACCTGCCTCCTGGGGTTGTTGTGAGGATCAAGTGAGATAATATTTGTAAAGCTCTTAGTACAGTGCTTAGCACAAAGTAGGTACTATATAAATGCTATTATTAAGATGACTTTCTGGGTACTTACATTCTCAAACCAACGATATGGACACAGACAAACTTAGAGGAGAAGGAATCAATTCAATTCAATTCAATTCAATTCAACAAATCCCTAGAAACCATCCAGAAGAAGACACCACATTATGAGAACGAAACAACACAAATGTGACTGATGAGCTACTGTTTACTGTGTACCAATGTTTGAGGGAGAATGAAGAGCAATACATCCTTTCCCGAAAGGCAAAGTTTACTCTAGATGGTAGCCACATAGCACAGTGACTTGGAATCAAGAGGACCTGAGTTCAAATCTTGCCTTGAATAGTTATTTAGCTAGGTGACTCTGGGCAAGTCCCTTGACTTCTCAGCCTCAGTTTCCTCATCGGTAAAATGGGGGCAATAATAACACTTACCTCAAAGGATTGTCATGAGGATCAAATAAGATAACATATTTAAGGTGCCTTGGAAACTATAAAACACTATATAAATGCTGACTATTATAATTATTGTTTACAAAGTCCCTGTGAAGGAGGGAAAGAAAGAAATCAGCAAATACAGGGAAGAGGTAATGAAGAATAGTAGCTAGGCTGACAGGATGGTCTAGGTTCAAGGAATGGGATGTTACAGGAGGCAAATGACAATACTTGCTTCCATTCTATGTGGAATCGTGTATTGTATAACTACATCCACAAGGATCCACCGAGATTCAGATAGTAACTTACAGAAAGGGCCTTGGAATCCTTCTTGAAAACAGGCAACATCGGTTAAAAAAAAAAAAGGTCCAGCTTCCATAGACTAGCCAGGAAGTCACAGCTGGTCTAGCTGGGAAGTCACAACTGTGTCTGGCCAGGAAGTCGACAGCATGGATTTAGTTCCCTTTTTTATATATCTCAGTAAAGGAGATGGTCATCAAAGCTATACACTGGCTTTTTTTGAAAGGCCAAATGGAAATATTTTATTTCCATGATAAATGTGAAATTGTAAATGTTGATGATCATAGCAAAAATGCTGGAAGGAAGAGCATGAGAATTATCCATTAGGCTAGGCACCTCCCTCCCATCACTCCTCAACCCTATTTGACAAAGGGAGCAGGTTGTGAGAGGAAGCTGTATCTTCTCATATTATGTTTGGAGGTTACTGATGTTTTCTTTAGTGACCTCCTATAGACTCATCATCAAGGAATGTACTTCATCTAAGATACCATTTATGCTTCTATTCTTTGTCACCTCACCATGGTAACAGGCAGTGCCCTTCATTTTTGAAGCAACCTTTAGTTTTCCATTGGTGAGAATGAGCCCACATCTTATGATTCTGAAATTCAGCCACAGAAGCTGATTGTTAACCTAGTGTCTCTTTGCCACCCTCCCCCAAGTTCGATAACTAAAACCTTACCAAAAAAACCATTCCCTACCTCCCTAATTATTTCTATTTTCATTGCCTCTTCATTTGTTGAATTCATCCAATTCTAGCTCTGGGAGGTTT